CCCTCCTCTCCCCTCCCCGCCCCGCCTCTCGGGCTTCTTACAACACACCCGCGCTAGAACTCGCCGAGGAGCACTTTGGTTTCCATCTGCTGTGAAAAATTACCTTTTCCTCGCCGTCTCGTTCACCTGTCGGCGCGGTTTGTTCACGCTGCTCCCTATCTACGCCCAAGAAACGACACGAGAGTAGGAGGAGACGAACAAACACTCCTACGTACATCGCCGCGAGACGAGCGAGGAGTGAAGACAAAGGTAAAGACGGAAAAGAGGAAAGCACGACCTCCCGCACCAATTTACTCCCCCCCCCCAAACGCCGGCCGCCACCTTCCGTCGCCATAATGAGTGTCGCGCCGGGATCCCCATGGAGGCGACCAACCACCATAGCACAACCTCCACCATAATGACCGCACTCATATCTGCACGGCCATGAAGCCCCCCTCTCCCACCTCCACCCACCCACCCATGGCCTTCACCGGACGAATGGCCACCATCTGCACCACAACTACCACACATGTTCTACCAGTATGCGAACCAGCCCCGTGTGAACGCGAACTAACCATCGCACTGTCTCCTCCGCCATCTACCATCATCTACCGCTAATCTACACCAAACCCACCACTGCCATAGAGGCCCAACCATCGTTACCACATAGCAATGTCTGTCATCACACAGCCAATTCATTTCCATAACAAAAAACCAACACTAGACCAGCGGCACATAGCGAAGTCTGACGTCACCACATACCCGTACCCACATTCACCATGTTATTGTCTCCATCGCGACCAGGCGGTTATGCCTCTGACTTGCCACCTACGCACGCAAGAATCTACCGACGTCAACCAACATCTAACGCCAACTTTCCGTACATAACGCCAACACCTGCCAATAATATCCACCAGTTTCTACTCCCATCGTTAAGGACCATCAACCACCAACACGCAGACAGTGCTATCCCACAAGGCTATCTACCGGAATCTGTCAACAAACAAACGAGTGACTTTTGTCTGTGGGTTATGGACAAATGAATGGATATATGGATGGATATACAGATAGATGAATAAAGGGACGGATAAAGAGATAGGTAAGTGAATGGATAAAGAGAAAGATGGATAAATGGATGGATAGGGAGATAAAGTGACAAACTAATGGATGAAGAGATATTTAGATGTGGATGGATAGTGAGATAGATGGTTAATTGGATTTATAAAAACACAGATGGATGGATGGATGGATAAAGAATGGATAGATGGATGGATGAACTGTTAAAATACAAACCTAAATGAGTGGTTTATTATAAAAGTCGATCAAGGGATGAACGGGTGGACGGATGATCATATTTATTCATTTGATTAAGCAGTGAAAGTCGAGATGGAACACTGGTAGGCCTATTGAAAGGTTGTACACATCGTTAAATCCAAGAATCTGGGAGACATACAGAGCCAAAGCTGAAAAGCCGTACGAAACCTTTACGCAAGCGCGCTGGAAATAGGCCTAAAGACCTCCCAGTCCTTCAACTATCGACTTCCACGAATCAATTACAAATCCATTTCTTCCACAAGGTCTCTTTTTCGCTGTATTCTTCATCAATGCAGTGCTATTGTCATTATAATGATCATGAAGAATGTTATAATAATAAGAAGTATTGGTAGTACTGCTAATATTCTTTTTTCCTTAGCAATGCTATTTTCACAAAAATTATGAAGAGCTGCCCTATAATTCTGCACAGTGCCGTGTTTGCTGACGAGCATCTACGTCCCGTCCAGCCAAGCAGCGCTCTTACAAAACACCTTACGAATCAAAACAGTTCCTTACCATTTCTCCATTCGCCGCATGCAAACCAACCAATACTTCTTTCAACAGCCTCTAAAAAAAAACGCGCCTTTTCCTCCAATTCACCCTCCTGTAGGCCTACCCTACAGCACTTCACTGAGTGAAATGTACTCCCCCCACCCCACAAACACGTACAGAAGCACATGCACCGCACCGAGGCACACGCACAGAGCCCTTCACAGACGTCAAGTGCCTGCGTCATTATTCACTCGCTGCTTATGCTCCTAAGCTCCTCATTAGGCCGAGCAAGGCGGGTTCAAAACACAATGCAGTCGGCTGGCCTTCTCGCTACGTTAAAACACCAACATTGAAGAGGATATTTCCATACGATCGGGATGCTTGGAGGTCGACGAAAGCCGTCCTTATGGGGAGTGGGGGCGTGGGCGCTGGCGAAGAAGGTTTTCGAAAGAAACAAAGACAACTTTGCCAACAGGATCCAGTACTCTCTACTCTATGACGCCACAAGATAATCATTTCACCTCCTTAACATTCGAGACTCGGCGATATATTAAAGCGTCGTCGTTCTTTTTATAAAGTTTCTACTCCTTCTTCTTATTCTTCTAGTTCTTCTTCTTCTCCTTCTCCTTCTCCTCCTCCTCCTCCTCCTCCTCCTCCTCCTCCTCCTCCTTCACTATCGTCGTCGTCATCCTTTGAATAAAGTTTTTTTCTTTCTTCTTTCTGTTACTGTTGTTATCAATATTACCATTATCATTTTTATTGCTAGTAATAGTAGTAGTATCCTCCATTACTATTCCTAGAGTGATAACGTAAACAGAAAATTACAGAGGCCATGATTCATCAGTTAAAGAGAGCAAGCGAGGCAGATTCTCCGAAACTGAACCGGGTTTCGAGTTCGAACAGTCTCGTCCTTGTTCATCTTTGTCGATTTATATGCAAAGTTACGTTTACGTTTTCTTTCTTTCTTTTTTTCTTTGTTTATTTATCACATCAGACATAATGTGTTTTCTTTATGATATATTCTCTTCCTATTTTGAAATCATGTCTATTTTATTTTCATATTCCCTTACCGGCTAACATTAATTTTCCGTCTCCATGTAGGCCTAATATCTATTTTATTCAGACACGTGTCTGTTTTGAGTGTTCAAAGTCATCCTTGAGTGTTCAAAAAGAGGACAGTATTAGTATCGACTGCGTTAGACACTGAACAGCGGATCAGTATGCTCTCTAAAAGCCTACCAACAATAGTATCTTTTTTAAACCTACTGCAACTGCATTTATGAATGTGCAATTCGGAGGAGAAGTGTAAATAGTATGTCGCAGAGCTGTATAAGCAGCGTATGTCGAAATGCGGCAAATTGTTTTCCTCGAAAATGTTGAGGATTCGAATTCAAATATGTTAATCAGTTCATTTTCATAAAATTTAAATGTGCAGTGAAGTGGTTTCCACACACACAGATGCAGACACACAGACACACACACACACACACACACACACACACACACACACACACACACACACACACACACACACACACACACACGCACGCACGCACGCACACACACACACACACCACACACACGGAACACAACACAGTCATCTTGCTTCTGCATAATTCCAATCAGATCACAAATGAAACGATAATTAACAAAACAAACAGCCGGAGCCGATCTCGTCCAATCCTCCCTAATCAATTCCAGAAATTGAAATTCAGGTAAAAAAAAAAAAAAAAAAAAAAAATCTGACAAGATCGCAAGTGTTCGGGCGGGACTAACCTCCGTGCGCGGGCGTGGGTGAAGGGCGGCGTTACGTCTCTATAAACCGAAGAAGCAATTGGGTGATTAAAGATCTGATTAGCTAAATTAGCGGCTAATCGGATGAATAACAGGGATTATCCGAACACGTGTCTTAACACACGAGCGGGGAGTCACGCATGGGGGAGTTGGAAGAAACGGAGGATATATATATGTAAATGCATTTATATATGAATATATATACATATATATTTACGTATATGTTCATATATACTTACACATGTATCTACGCACACAAACACACACAGACACACACATATATATATATATATAGAGGAGGAGGGAGGAGGAGAGGAGAGGACGAGGAGGAGGAGAAAAGAAGAAGAAGAAGAAGAAGGCAGAGGTGGGAGGAGAGGAAAACAGAAGAGAGTGCAGGGGGAAGTAGAAAAGAAAGCGAAGGAGGGTGGGGGAGGAGGGAGGGGAGAGAGAGGGAGCCAGGGAAGTGGAGAACTATTTACACACTGACAGACGAAGGAACAAACCAGTCGAGAGCGGTCAAGAGAGACGAATGGAGTGGGAGTCGCCTCGTGGGATGAAGGGAGAGCTGGCCCGCGGAAAGAGGAGAAGGAAGAGGGGGAAAAGCGAGGGGAGAAGGGAGGAGAGAGAGAAAGAGGGGAGTGGGGAGGAGAGGGAAGTGCAGAGAAGGGAGGAGAGGGAGAAGGGAGGTGAGGGGAAGAGCAGAGAAGGAGAGAGGGGAAGAGGGGAGGGGGGAGGAGAGAGAAAGAGGGAAGAAGCGAAGAGAGAGGAAGAAGGAAGAAGCAAGGAGAGAGGAAGAGGGGAGAAGCGAGAAGGAAGAAGCGAGGAGAAGGGAGGAAGAGCGAGGAGAAGGGAAAGAGGAAAGAAGCGAGGAGAGAGGAAGAGGGGAAGAGGGAAGAAGCGAGGAGAAGGGAAAGAGGAAAAAGCGAGAAGAGAAGAGAAGAAGCGAGGAGAGAGGAAGAAGAAGCGAGAAGAGAAGAGAAGAAGCGAGAAGAGAGGAAGAGGGGAGAGGAGTGAAAGCGAGTCCGGGAAGAGATGATAATAAGAAAACAGATCCTCTTGAAGTCATCACACCCGCATCTTCTCACGCCTAAGGGGCATTAGGAGATATCGTCAGGGTGCGTCACACTCGTCTTTGGAACGGCGGGACATGTCAATATTCTGTTATACGAGATGACAGCGTGTGTGCGTGTGCGGTGTGTGTGTGTGTGTGTGTGTGTGTGTGTGTGTGTGTGTGTGTGGTGTGTGTGTGTGTGTGTGTGTGTGTGTGTGTGTGTGTGTGCGTGTGTGTGTGTGTGTGCGTGTGCATATACATACAATATATATATAATTTACATATACATCATAGCCAAGAGAGGGGGAGCGGGAGCCGAGCGCCGAGCCAGAATAGCCTGGCGTAATCTCGCTCCTTCACCAAACCACAAATGTTGCCGGAGCAACGTGACGCGGCGCCGCCCCGCGCGACATCCAATCCTCGTACAGCATCTTTAACGTCCTCGGAATATCCGAGCGCGTCGGCGGGAGCCAGAGTCCGCGGCCTCCTTCCTCCTGCGGCGTCCCCCTCAGCCTCTCTGGCCGCCAAGGACCACTTCAAAAGCAGACGAATAAAGCCTCCCGCGCCCCTGCCCTCCGCCGCGGCCGCCGAGGCGCGCGCGAGGGGCCCGAGTGCAACACGTGAGCCGCAATCGATCTCCCGGGAGCGGCGATCAGCGGAGCATCCCGCCTTGTTGTGGAATCCTTCACGAGCGGAGGGGGCGGCGACCCCGACCGCCGACGTCGATGGGACTGCTCTTACCCCCGCTCCCGTCATCCCACCGCTAGAAAGCATCCTCAAAGGACGGCTCCAAGTGGAAGGGCCATCGGCAGCCACTTCAGAGACGCACGCCAGTCACGGGATTCGAACCAGCAGTCCTCCTTCGCACGGCTTGTCCCTTCGACCAGTTAAGCGCCCTAATGGCCTCCTCCGAGTGGACAAGGAAAAAGTAGGCAAATTATAAATTCAAAGTCGCTTAGTTACATAACATCCCTCACGCCACCGCACGCCGCCGCCACAACCAGAGACAGAAAGAGTACAAATGGTTTTAGAGGTGGAGGTGGTAGCGCGTGTTGGTGGAAGTGGTGGTATGAAGCGATGACGGTACATTTTAACATATACTTGCTGAAAAGTGTGTGGTGGCATTGCAGTTTCTTCTGACACAGAATATTTAAATACGTCTAAGTTCCCCCGAAAAGAAATTTATGCTCTGGAACAATGATATTGCCCCCTGCTTAAATTTAACCTTGGCTGGAAAAAAATCTGGAGGGAGAGTGTTCCATGGATCTACTGTACAAGTAAAGTAAACAGGTTTCTCTAGCATATCCTTCGCAGGGAAAGATGTAGATCCTTCAAGCTAACATCCCAGAATCCGATTTCCATACACATGCCATCAAAGACAAGTAGACAACTCCCGTAAGCGCTTCTGTCCTCAACTTCTGCAGCGCCTCCGAACGCGGGGCCACACAAGTCCTTGACGTTAGCACGAGAAATAGACGTCTCGCCATAAGGCCGACGATTCGCGCTCCTTTGCTTACGAGACGTCCCAGCCTCGGCCCCTCGAGGAGCTCACCTGAGGCGTTAGCCAACTGCCCGTGTTCTCCGTCCTCACAGGCGGGAGCTTCCGGGAGCCAGGTGACGTGTTCCTCTACTTCGTCGGGAGCCAGGTGACGTCCTCCTCTACTTCGTCGGGAGCCAGGTGACGTGTTCCTCTACTTCGTCGGGAGCCAGGTGACGTGTTCCTCTACTTCGTCGGGAGTCAGGTGACGTGCTCCTCTCCTTCGTACGTCCACGTCGCCTCCCTCGGACACCTGACCCGCTCGCCTCCGGACGCAGCCAGCTCGGCCAGCACCGCGCACCCGTGTCCCATCCTGCGAAGGAGACCCTAGTCGCCGGCGTCCCATTGATGCCAGGAGCCGTACGCTGCGATTTGCCTCCTCAATGAATACAAAAAAAGAAAGTACACGCGACCACACACTTGCTATCGATCGTGGGCTGAGGCCGCCTGTGGGCGTAAGCTTCCTTCTAGCATCCAAAGCCCGGTAGCGCTCTTCCTGCCACCCCCAGGCCCGCGCCACGCCACCCCCTGGCAACCTGCCGCCGCGCTCACCTTCACCTTCGCGGCCGCCTCGCCCCGCTCCTCCTCGCGGCCGCACGCCCCTCGTCGCCTCGCTCGCAAGGGAGGACTGAGGCCAGGGAGGAGGAGGCAGAGATGCATGAGGAGGTGGAGACGGAGGAGGATGTGGAAACGGAGGAGAAGGTGGAGGTGGAGATGGAGACGGAGGAGGAGGTGGAGACGGAGGAGGAGCTGGAGAATGAAGAGGAGCTGGAGAATAAGGAGGAGGTGGAGAATGAGGAAAAGGAGGAGGAGCTGGAGAATGTGGAGGAGGAGCTGGAGAATGAGGAGGAGAAGGAGCTGGAGAATGAGGAGGAGAAGGAGCTGGAGAATGAGGAGGAGAAGAAGGAGACGGAGTATGAGGTGGAGAAGGAGGAGGTGGAGACGGAGGAGGAGGAGGAGGTGGAGACGGAGGAGGAGGAGGTGGAGACGGAGGAGGAGGAGGAGGTGGAGACGGTGGAGTGGAGACGGAGGAGGAGGTGGAGAATGATGATGAGGAGATGGAGGTGGGGGACGGAGGAGGAGGAGGAGGTGGAAAATGAGGAGGAGGAGGTGGAGACGGAGGAGGAGGAGGAGGATGCGGAGGCAGTGGAGGAGGAGGACCAAAGAGGAAAAAGAAGAAGAAAGAAAAAAAGAAGGATGTACGCAAAACAGAGAGAAAGAACGAAAGGAGGAAGAGAAGAAACAAACGGATGAGAGAGGCAGCAAGCTCTGCCGGCGGAGGCGCAGACGGCGGACGTGTCGTGTTTGTTTTGGTGCGAAGCTGAGCGTCGGC